TAATTAACATATAAACGAATACTCAATAAAAAATATCTAAATATTTTGAAAAAAGATACAAATAGTAAATTTTTTGATGATTTAATCTAGAAACTTATGAGGAAAAAACCAGCCGATTGTCACTATTCTGCCGATTATATAAAAGACTAAATAAAGTATATAATGGGTATTCTTGCAAGTAACTATTTGTACACCTTTTTCAAATTTCTTAACAATTCTTATATTTAATATATTGGAAGAAAACATATCGTTTTACACATTTTATCATTTAAATACAACATCAATAGGTCTTTGCATTTATTTAAAAAAAAATAATCTTGTTATTTATAATATAAACTTTGTTATACTTACTATTCTATATTAAAAGAATATCTAATACAATTGAAGGTCATCCTGATTCATATTTAAATAAAGGATAGTCGAAGAAGTATGACTATTAAACAAAATTGTAAAAGCTCTAACTTTTTACAAGAAGATATATATAGTGACAAAAATTAACTGCCCAAACAAAAATTGATAATTTCTTTAATAAAATATAATATTTTTGGAAGATTCAATAAAACAGATAGTACTGTTTTGTTGCATTTGTTTCGTTTGTCGTTTTTTACTAAATAATTGTGATGTCTACATTGAAAAGTATTTGTAAGTCAGTATTTATGGAGTCAGTAATACTGAATTTAACATATATAAAAGTAAAAACCATGATAAAGTGGAGTAAGATAAGTATATTTTGAAATTCTTAAAATTACCGCGACTTACGAACAAATTTGACTTATGAACAACCCTTTGGAATGGAAGTAGTTCATAAGTCGGGGGATACCTGTACTGAAATATTTTGCATATTGAGGCTTTCATCAATGTGAATTCAGTATATTAAGGTTTTTAAATTTTCATAACATATTATATTTGAACAAAATAATAATAAATTCTATAAAAATACTATACAAAAATTATGTTCACTTCCTGTGAGTTTATTATATTAAGTTCTTGATTAACCCGGTTTCAAACAGTGCGGTAACCGATTACCCGCACTATGAGAGTTATTGCTATATAGTAATTATTGTTATTATTATGATAATATATTTCATCAATTAATTCAAATGTATATCTTCCACAAAATCTTTACTGTATCCATTTTCAGAAATATTTTGTACATTTTTACATTTGTACAATTAATGATTTTTTTGGTAAATATTTTAATTGTATAGACTTATTTATTTTATAATCTCTTGTAATTTTGTTGTTATTAATTTAATGTCTTTCCATGATGCTAGATTTATTTTGTAATTTATGACGTATATTTCGTGACAATATTGATTTGGTGTAATTTTATATACTGATTTATAGATTAGGAACAATCGTAACCTATGTAAACAATTACGTTACGTACTGCAATCACATTAAAGTAATATTTGCTTTAGACGTTCTAGCACTCAATAATCGAATTCCGGCAATACTGGAATAAAAGGAATAATTCATTCTGGGTATTTTCTTTCTATTCATATACAGCAATATCTCGTATAGTGCAGATTCGATCAGTACAAATACTACTTTTCTTTGTAATCTTTCTATAGGAGAATAGTAAGCATTTTTGTGTATATCAATAATTTGTTGTCGAGTGATTAGGATATGCATGCTGCTCGAGTGATAGCACTTTCGAGCAGAAAATATAGTTTGCTGAATTTCAGACCTAGTTGCTTTCTCTTTGTCTTCTATCCAGATGCATGCCAACAAATTTTACATGATCCTCCTGCGGTAAAACTTTGTTTTTAGAGTTATTGGAGGACACGTTTTCTTCCTCACCGTAAAGGTGACATGAGTCGATTTCGTTTCGTTTTATTGCCAGTCTTCTATTTGATTTAATCCACTTTGCAAGTTTTGTGATGAATACAAAATAGTAAATAAATAATATATTTAAAATCATGAAAGTAAAGTCAGAATATATTGTGATTATTTTATGATATTATGTCTATTTGTACAGACGTTCTGAAATATTGTATTATTAACAAAAATGGATACACAAAAGTTTAACTAAATATTTTATTAACGAGACGTAAATGTAACTTAATTATGTTATGTTAAGAAAAACAATAAATTACTTAGAACTTTTGGTTGATTTATTAATGCATGAATTATAAACGTACAGGTGATCTTCGGAAATTTTATAGATTAAATTGTTCATGTAATATAAATGAGGACATAGATCATCTTTTTCGTTCTACAAATCGATACAAGTTTTTTTTGCTGAAAATATAATTTCTAATCTATATGGAAAAATATGTATGAATTACATAGAAAATTCAGTTGATAGCCTAAATTGGATCCAATCAAAATTTTTAAATAAATAAATATTTATCTACATTTGAGTATAAGAACTGACAGGACTCAAATTAAAATTTATATGGTATTGAAAGAAATTGGTCTATATTTATGCGAAATTGTCTCGAAATTTGATTCTCTTACAAATAGATCAAAATAAATAATTTAACAAAATGCTCTTACAAATAGATCAAAATAAATAATTTAACAAAATGCTTAATTTATATTGAACAAAAATATAATTTTAAATTAAAAAAAACGTAGTTTAAATTACTTGAAAAATATGTTTATTTTCATAACACGAAAATTGCTCAATTTTGTTTTTCTTTAATCTTATGTAATCTAAATGTATGTCAGAAATGGAGATATGTTTTGTTAATAAAAAAAAAATTTACATTGTTTGATTTACTTCAATAAGTTTTTTATCATTATAATTATGAACTATAAATTTATAAAATAAACCAATAAATAAATTTAGGAAATTGTAGCTGCTGTTAATGAGAAATTTAAAAATTATCAATGAAATTCATTTTAAAATAAAAAAACAATACAACTTTTTTTCTTATTTAACTATAAATTTAATTGTAAATGTGGATATACTATATAAAAATATAAAAAATATAATTTTCAAGAAGAGAATTTTCCGACGATATATTGTTAAAACAAACAAAAAAATGCTATGCGCATTTTAATGTTCCAGCAGCTCCCAGTGCAAACATGATTAACCGTTAATCAGCCGTTTTTAGAAACAGTATGTGATCATCAACAATGAAATGTTCATCGTACTGTTCGCAATGAACAAGCTGCGGTGGTTGTTCGGCAGAGTGTCAATAATGATCCATTTGTGTCTGCTCGCCGACGTGCTACTCAGTTGGGCATCTTCAAAACATCGCTAAGACGAATATTGAAACTTGGTTTGAAGATGTTTCTCTACAAAAAATATTAACACCGTGTGACCGAATTATTTTGAAAAATTCATATTTCGCTTTTCCTCCCCGAGTTAACGGCCATAAATGCATTAGAAAGAGTCATTACGTGTCAACAAGAAAATGGAGGTCATTTAAATGATATTATACACGGGCGGTGTCGTGATACTGCACTAAAACCTCTCCTCTTCTTCGTCAGCATACAGGACCTGTATCACTGTGCTACTCTGCTATGTTATTATCTTTGCATGTTTGGCACTTCTCATGGATAATGTTAGTGCTGGCCTCCACTGCCACTGTCCTCGTATGCCCTCTGCAGTGTCCGCTCGTCTTCTTTAATCAGTAATACCTCTGTTATATATGCTGCTACAGCTCTCTGCACTCTTCAGCATTTCCCTGACAAAATTTTAAGGCTCTAGCACAACAACTGCTGCACCTAAAAAGCGTGTGCTCAGGGCTATTATCCTCCTCATAGTACCATCACCTTTCGACTTCCTTCTTTGCTATAAAGTATAGGTACTTGCCAAAGCAGCCATGAACAGACAGCGCCTGTCTCAGGTGTTGTGCTTTCTGTTCCAAGGCTCTATTTGTGGGATTAAACGTCGAGTCTAGGTTCTTTTCACCGAACTGTGTTATTTTGACAGCAGTTTGGCTCTAGCATCCGCTTTGGTCGCGCCCCTCAGCCTCTCACCTCTCTGCAAAACAAAGAGATCTATTGGTGGTACACCAGCTATCACTTGTACTGCGTCTCGGGAGATTGTCTTGTACGCGCTGCATATCTTAATTGCTCAACTCCGTTGGACCGTTTCTGCCTGTCTTTTCTACCACCACTACTGTTAGGTCATCCGCATATCCAATGACTGTTATGTCTGCATTTTGATTAATCCTTAGCACTCCGTCGCAAGACAAGTTCCATAGGTGGGGGTCTAGCACTGATCCTTGTGGAACTCCATACATTCATCTAAAAAAAGAAAATCTAAAAAAAATACAATTACAAAAGTTATATGTATTTTACATTAGTGAGTCGAAGTTGGCTCTCCCCGTATTTAACGTAAAATATATAAAGTTTTATACACATTACGCAAATAATTTATAATGTATTAGACAATATATGATGAAAATATGTATGGTATTTTCAATATGATAATTTTAATAATTGCTTACCCACTGTGACTTGTACAAGTACACGTTGATTATGGAAATCCGGGGCACTAATTTCGAAAATATAAGACAACGACTATTTATAAAAAGAGGACACGTATGCGAAAAAACCGAAAGAAAGGAAAAACTAGAAAATATGTAATACGAAAAATATTTTTTTTGTGGATTAATTGTTAAGAATTTATTATTATTTTACTGAATTAAAATTTAGTTTGTTTTAAAATTTTCAAACCGGACTGATGAAACCCGCACTATGTGTAGAATTGCTGTAAATCCATTTAATTTGTAGTAAAAACTCATGACTAAGTTAGTTTAAAAAATGTGACATTTATTATCCATTGCATATATTATTTACATTCGTTTTGTTAAGTAATAATTTTGAAATTAGTTCTAATTCATGTTTAAAATTGTATGTAAACTGATAACGAATTGACATAAAATCCAATTAGTGTTTAATCGAATAACAAATGTAATGGGTCTAAACTGAACTAAACATAATATTTTCATTGTTTTACATTGATGTTGATATCAAAACAAAGTACAATCAATCGACCAACATGTAAATCTAATTTAAATGAACGGCAATCTTGATTCCAGCATAAATCGTCATCAAGTCTGCGCAGCCCTTTTCAGTCGAACAGTCGCGACATGTATCCAGTTGAATCCTGTGCAGCAAATGAATGTATTGATGCGCCATTAATTACAATATTTCATACCGATCTTATTGCTAATGCGGCACGTAATGCGTTATAAATGATGTATTCATAGTCCATGAAATTATTTAATGTGGTTCGCATTCGGGTGATGTCATCCTGAGGACAGGTCAGGATCGAGGATCGGCACTGCGCAACATTGATCCGAACCCTACCTCGAAAAGAGGGAAGCTCCGTAGTAGTATTTCCTGTGTTAAGGGGGGAAATACTATTGATTCCATTTTGTCCAACCTGGAAACCGGGCGGCCCTGCGACGCAGCTCCGGTCCACCGTGCGCCGTCGTCACGTCCAGCGAATCCACAACTTTCTAATGGAAAATAATGGATTTTTAATGCGACACATCGTATTACCGCAATTGCATTTTACAGTCCGCATTTCAGAAATTTAACACGAGCAACTGCTAATCTTCCTGACATTTACCAGACATTGTCACTTGCCTTTTGTCAAATGTCACTTACTTGTCAAATAACTACATTGTTGTTGGTACTAAATTCTTAGCAGTAAAGTAGCATATATTATATACATAAATAAAGCAAATACAAATACATATAGAAAGAACTGTTTACAGCAGTATTTCCGTCCCTAAAATTCCAAATTGTTATTTTTTTGTATTATGTAAGTTCTTATGTATTTTAGAAATTTAATACATAAAATTATTAATCTTTGTTACATTTTACCAGACATTGTCATTTGTCAAATGTCACTAACTTGTCAAATAATTACATCATTGTTATTATTAAATTGCTAACAGCAAAGTAACACATATTATACAAATGACTATTTACATCAGTATTTCGCTCTTAAAATTTCAAATGATTAAATTTTAACAAATCTAAGTTCTTATGTATTTCAGTTTAACAAGCAAATATGCAATTCTTTGTCACATTTAACAAACATTGTTCCTTGTCATTTATCAAATATGACCTTTCTACTAATTAACTACATTAATCTTGTTACTATATACCTTGCAGAAAAGTAAGACATATTGTATACATAAATAAAACAAATTCTTATACAAAAGGACTGTTGACAGCAGTATTTCCGCTCCCAAATTATTAAATTTTAACGAATTTCAGAAATACAACATGCCCAATTATTAATCTGTGTGACATTTACCAGACGTTGTCCCCTGTCATTTGTCAAACTCGACATGTCAAATGTGACTTAATTATCAAATAATTGTTACTAGATTCTTAGCAGTAAAGAAGCAATAAAGAATTGTAATAAATAAAAATATACATACAAACGACTAAAATTCTAAATTATTAAAAGTTAACACATATAAGTTCTTATGCATTTCAGAAATTTAACAGGCATAATTATTAATGTTTGTGACATTTACCAAAAATTGTCACTTGTCATATATCAAATTTCATTTATCTTTTAAATAAAAGTGTCATTCTTGTAACTAGATTCCTAGTAGAAAAGAAACACATATTTTATACTTAATAAAAAATATATATATATCCAAAGGGCGGTAGTATTTCCACCCCTAAAATTATTAAATTGAATAACACGGTATTTCAGTTACACGGAGTAACATGGTCAATTATTGCAACAACCTTCGCATAACACGGTACGTCAATTAAACAGGTTCTTTAAAATATACTGTTTCATTATTTTTAATAAAGTAAAATTTTTTAGTTGAACAAAGTCTTGCATATAGTAAAGGAAGTCTTTTAAAAATTAAAATTTGTTGTCAAATTTCCATTTACATACGGAGTATTGAATAACATGGTTTTGAATAGCAATTAAAAGTGTTATTCAAGGGTTGACTCTATTACACTAACAAACATGTTTATTAATTGATGATGATATAAGATTTAAACTTTTAACAAAGGAAACTGTGTTTTACTGTGAGTTTTAGGAAATCAGGACAAAACAAATTATTAATTCACAAAGTAATTCCAAAAAGCAAAATGTTGGTATATAAAACTTTTGCATAATTCATGAAGGACTATTGATTCGATTACATTTTATATATGAAAGTAAATTTGTTAATAACCTAAAATAATATACTTTAATTATTTGTTATAATAAATAAGGCTTACATATTAACATATTAATTGATTATGATATAAATCTTTACTAGGAGCTACGCATTACTTGTCAAGTAACTTGTAATATATTTTAGTAAAACTTAAATATTAGTAATTTTTGGCAATGCAAATCTTTTATTTAATTATAAGAGTTATTTATCATGTCTAGTTCGTACATTCTACACGTTATTTAACAAGTTACTTAGTAGTTATTACGTTTTTATATGAAATTAAATATTTAATTGTAATTTCATTAACAATTTTTTTTTCAAATTTTACAGTTTTAAAATTTGAATTGAATGAATTAGGAGAAATTTATTTTTACTGAATATATCGCATCTTGCTTCTTCGATCAGTGCGATTTCACTATAATACGCTTTGAAAACTTCAAAACAAACTAAATTTTAAATGACAAAAAATGATTTTTTATATATAAATAAATTATCGTGTTTTTTGTTTGAGGTTAAGTCTTTTTTTGTGCTGTTTATTAAATCCTGGATTTGTGCGATTTCAAAGAGTGGGGATTGTTAGCGAAACCGCACTGTTCGAGGCATTCCTGCACAAATTAATCACTGATTGTGGATACCCTAAATGCATCATGAAAAACAAAAAACTTTTATATAAATTCTTGTTATGTTAATAAATTTGCGTTCCAAACTTATTTCTTTTATTCATAACATAACGTTATTATTTGCCTCAATAAAATAAATGCAATCATATAAAATTATATATATAAAGAAATATTACGTGTCCAAATTATATGACATTTCATTTGGTTGTCAATCTTCGTATTATATATCAATTCGCTCGTAATGAAAAACATAGCTTTTCGTGATTGCCGAGCAATGATTTTTTATTTGTATTGATTTTCGTTGCAAATGATATTATATTTCTTTATTTCATAGAAGCAAATATACTACATATTGATTAAAGTACAAAACCTTCATATTTAGCAAATAATATTTGCAATTTTATTATTTATTTATTAACTAATATTTAGTGTCCACAATTCTGGCTAAACAGCTAAAGACTGAAAGACCACTTGTAATCTTATTATTGATTTTTTTCAGTATTTCCGTATATTCACTATGCGAATTCGTTATTCGTTGTATAACTTCTATTGACGCAAACTTGAGAACAACAAGGGATGGTTGTCATGGAAACCACGCATATCTCCTACATACTATGCCAGTGTTTTACAACCCCTTTTTTGTTTATTTCACGGCACGCTTGAACCTATAGTTAATCACAATGTAATCATGATGATGTTTGTAAATATTATTTTAAATATAAGTATTACTTCTATTTTTTTACTTTCATTTTAACATTTTTAATTGTATTTTATTCTAAAAATAATTCTTAATTATTGTATATATATTTAAATGAAAATATTAGGTCAAAATTGTTGCCTTTAGGCTAAACCACCAAACTGCCATCAAGGAATTAAGTATGCAAGAAATACTCTGCGAGGGTATTGATCTTCTCATTCAAGAGCTGACTCATTTAATAATGAATATATGCCAAAATTAATGTTCGCCACCCCACACAAATTTTAATCATGCAATTTTGATGCAAAGTTCAAAGTAAACTTCACGTTTCGTCGATTACCTAAAATTAACAAGTTATTATATATTCATTTATTATTAATGCTCATATAATACAAAAAATGTTTGCATATAAATTAGTACAGGAAACCTTTCTATAACACCTTTTCCAAATAACGCGTTATTGCGTTATAGAAGATCGACTGTCAGCTTTACTTCGCATAGTCCGGATAAACGATTATGCCTATACTATTTGAAACCTAATCGACGAATACATGTATACCAAAAATAAACCGCACAAAAAGAGACTTAACTGTATAAAAGAAACAATAACTATGTGAATTAAAATACATGTATACCAAAAATAAACCGCACAAAAAGAGACTTAACTGTATAAAAGAAACAATAAATATCATTTATATGAGGTGAAGCAAAATAAGAAAGACTTTTTAGAATATAAATCGTATAAAAAGAGATTTGACTGTATAAAAAAATNANAAAAATTTATGATAATTTTGTATCAAAGAAAACTATTTTTTAATAAATGAGACTTAACTGTATAAAAGAAACAATAAATATCATTTATATGAGGTGAAGCAAAATAAAAAATCATTTTTTTGTTATTGAGTTAACATGTTTCGTTTTGAAGCTCAGTTAGTATTTTTTCTGTTTTGACGATTTATATTTTTTAGGCCCATAACCAAAAAAAAATGCAAAGGCCAATCTCTAAAATGATGATTGGATGTTCAAGGACAAACCCAAATTAGAGAGACTATAATGAATCTAGATTAATGAAAGCCGGACTATGTGAGTTATTGCTGTACTTATTCTTAGATTCTTATAACACGGTATTAATTAATTAAGTTATAGTAGAGTAGACTGTACAGTAAACTCTCCTATAATACTATTCTCTAATAATGCGGTTTCCATCCAATTGGTATCAATTAATTAAATTATAAGAGTGCAGATTGTTCTGTAAAATCTCCTATAATGCTGTACTTTAATAACACGGTTTCTATATAAAGCAGTACCTATTAATTGTAGTGTAGATTGTACAGTAAACTCGCTTATAATACTGTATTTTAATAACGCGGTTTCTATACAAAACGGTACTAAATAATTGAGTTAGCAGATGGTTCGTTTTACTACTTCTGAATTTTTATAACACGGTTTCCATATAATGTAGTTTCAATTAATTGCGATAAGTGATGGTTATCCGTACTACTTCTAAGTTTCTTATAAAGCGGTATCAGGTGATTAAGTTTTAGCAATATAGATTTTACAGTATTATCTCTTATTCTAATAACGCGGTTTCTATACAAAATAGTACTTATTAATTGTATTAGGGGATAGTTCGTTTTACTACTGCTGAGTTTTTTTATAATGCGGTTCTACTTCCAAGTTTCTTATAACGCGGTACCAAGTAACTAAGTTATAGCAGTGTAGATTGTACATAAACTGTATTATAATAATGTATTCTAATAACGCGGTTACTATACAAAACAGTACTAAATAATCGAATTATAAGATGGTTCTGAGTTTTTTTCTAACACGGTTTCCGTAAAATGCGCAATTAACGTAATTGTTGTCTGCACTACTTCTATGTTTCTTATAACACGGTACCAAGTAATTTGGTTATAAAGTGTAGTTTGTACAGTGAACTCTATTATAATACTCTATTCTAATAACGCGGTTTCTATACAAAATTGTACTTATTAATTGCGTTAGGGGATGGTTCGTGGGGATTACTTCTGGGTTTATTATAACGCGGTTTTCATAAAATGCGGTTCCAATTAATTGCTTTTCATACTTTTTATCCGCACTACTTGTAAGTTTCTTATAATTCGGCACCAAGTAATTTAGTTATAACAGTGTATTTTGTGCAATAATCTGTCTTATAATGTATTCTAATAACGTTTCAAAACAAAATGATACCAATTAATTGCCTCAGAGGATGGTTGACTGTACTTCTGTACTAATTTTAAGTAAATCTTATAACGCGATACTCTCATGTCACGGCATCAATAATTGCATTATAGAAGGCTTTACTCTAATAAAATATAAAAAAACGTGTAAATCAGACGTGTATTATTTGTTGCATCTACACGTTTCACAATCACTTTATATTATTGAAATATATATATTTTTTTTGTCAACATCGCGATGTTATTTACTGCTATTGTGTTTACCTCTACGTTTCTTCCGTTTTAGCCATATGTATACACTAGCATAATTTCCCCGAGGAAATCCATCCTTCCCTTATTTTGCTGCTCCTGCTCTTATTCATGTCTTACATTATCTTTACTCTGCAGCTCTCATCAAAAACGTTTGTCTTTTTCCTCAGGGAACTCGAGAAATGTTTTCCTGTTTTTATTTTCACCCAATAACATTTGACTTCTCACATTTTTTTTTTGTATTTTTATATACGAAAATGTGACAAAAGTTTTGAATTTTTCAATGTAAATATTATCATTAAAGTTTTTCAAATTTCTTCAATAAATGATCATTATCACCTCGCATAATGAGGCTTCGATCAGTGCGGATTCACAATAG